CACAGCTATTGTCGGTCTGCGGCATGCATAGCGCTGCTCTAGCATGTGGCACAGTGAATATATGGTTTATACAGCCACGTTCTGCCTGCTCTTTCCCAATCCGAGATTCCCGTTCCCCAGTGAGACGACGAACGAGAATCAAGACAAGTAATTTTGTCGCAACTGGCGTTAGGCTAATATCCCTGTGGTTAGGCCAGTCTGTGCGACCGTCATTCTTGTATATTGCTAGTATAATCAATCCACCCTAGTTAGCCGGGACATTCTGTTCCTTCCAGATATGTTAGAATAAGTAGGTCAGTGCTTCGCATAGGACCTCATTTCCATCCTTAAATAGTGCAGGCGGAAGGAAATCCGAGCAAGCAGCATACGAAAATAAATTATTTATTTATTTATTGAAGGCTGTGATCGCGTTTCGGATCTAAGCCTTCGATGGAGTCTGTAAACTAACCGCACATCGCTCATCCTGCATCACCAGAGTATGAACAGGTCCGGAAACAGGGGACCAACTGAATGATCTTAAAAGTGTTCCGCTCAATGAGCCATACGGCGCTCCTTATTGTGTATCAGTGCGCCCGCGCTGTCTGTCTCAATGACGCCTGATTTCCTGGGACCAGTGGTGCGGATCAACTGGAAAAGCTTGCAATAATTACCTACTGTTCCCGCTTTCTCCATTTCTTGAGCCCGACTGGTTCATCAGGCTTCCTTGTCAGCACGTAGGCTCTCCTATAGTTCGCGCATATTGGTCCGTCTGGTCACACCGTGCTCAGAGCCAGCCGGGAGATTTCTTCTGAATTCCAATAGGTTTACCGACCTCACGGATATCCAGTGACTGGTGCGGTGACGATTGATAGCACCACAAGCAGATGCTCTTGCGTCGTGCAAGGAAGCCGAGATCCTATTCCACTGAAGCCCAGTGTCATTAGGATAAGACAGCGGAAGTTCGGTATGTAGTGCTTCTTGATAGGCTTGCCTGACCGAGAGCTGAGACAAGTTCTCAGTTGCAAATCGGAGGAGACGCTTGGTGCGTCACCCGGTAAAGTTCATGGAGAAACGACAGCGTACCAAGGCATGATCAGAGTCGACACAAGTACTCCAGTACGAGCGGCAATCCAGGATGGAACCACGCCACCTGTAACTTATCGCAATGTGATCAATTCGGGTCCATCAACGAGCCAGCTACAGAAGGACGTCAAGTGGCACTTTGGCGCCCACTGTGTCTAAAAGCAGTGCTACTAAGAGACAACTGGTGTTCCGCACACAGTTGCAGCAGACACTCGCCGTCGTCAGTCCGTTCGGAGTTAAACCCATACTTACCACCCAGTTGGGCTTCTGAAGAGCTCAGACGCCCTACTTGTGCATTCATATCCCCTGCACGTACTATGATATCGGAACTAGTAGCACCGCATAGTAGCGTGTTCGCTATAGTATGAGTCCTCGGCAGCATCAGAACTACAGTCGGTGAGAGTATGAGTGGAAATCACAAGCAAACAGCGTTTTGTAATACCACGTGAATCAACCTTAGTTGAGGTCGTCAAATAGACTACACAGAGACGGCTGCTCATGAGAATCCAATCAACCAACGACGACTCGGTCTTGGAGCTGCGAACAGTGCCCATACCAGCTTGATCGGTGGTTGTCGCATCAGCGTCTCCGGATGCGTGCGACCAATAGCGAGAGGGCAAACCTGGTGCAGTTAATTCAACAACCCCGTGAGCGTCATTGATCCTAATTTCGGACACATTACACAGGTCAATACGCAATGTGTCCAATGTGAGTGCGAGTGCAGCCTATTGACCTATTTGCCTAAGAGTGCGGAAGTTGAATGCCGCCTGGGAAACGGAAAGGTGTGGCCTTATAAAGGACTGCTGCTGATAGGCGTCCTGTGGGTGGTGCGGGATGGTAGCTGCAGATGTTTCGACACCAGGGGCATTACGGTTTATAGTAATTAGGCTGGAATTATAGAAGGATGTTTAGTAATGGGGGTTGGGTGGCGGTAAGCGTAAAGGGTGGAAAAGAAAGAAGGTGCCAGCAGTAGCATGTTTTCGCTTATGCGCCCTGCTGTATGCAGCAGATAAGGCGACGCTTAGTAATCTGCGCGAAGACCGATGCAGGAAGTAGTCAGAGTCCGTACTTTCAGTCATTCGAATGAAATAAGAGGACTGCTAACAGATTTCAACTTTGCTCATATTTGTTGAAAGCAGCAGCAGTCACTGGGGACATGTAAGGTGACAGGAGAGACACCTTGAACGCGGTCACCGCTCATTAGGTCCAGTGCAGCTTGGAATTCGAATTGAACACATGCATGTATTCACCGGGATACACTATAAATGAGCAGTCTCCGTGTATTTGGTGATAGCGATCCCAACACCGTAACTACAGCAAGTTATCGGACTGGTATCACTGGAGGAGACAAGTGAGTGGGATCTGTTTCCAGCAAACGTAAATGTACTAGGATGATGTCCTTCAGTATAAGTGCTTCCGGGATACAATATACATGAATCGCGGGAGAGTGTAAGTGACTCGATAGTGTGCTGGCATTAACAGACCCGGGGCAAGTTGGTAACTTGGGCTTGAGAAGTGACCTGATTCACCAGGTCAGGAGTGGTCTCCTGACGATTGACACGAGAAAATGATTAGTGTCTTTGATAAAGAATTCTAACCCGCGACCAGCTAGAGTGGGACCGCAGAGTCCCAGTGGGATCTAAGCGAGATCGGCCTCATAGTGTGCAGAGTAACAAATCTATGGCGGAATACGAAGTGAAATCAACACCATCGGTGAGCCCATTTTGTATTGTACCAGAGTAACTCGAGGAAACGAAGATAGACGTCTAGCACTGAGGCTTGGACTCAAATGGTGGATAGTGCCTTACAAGTCAAACATCTCCAATGCCGATACTGATTGATCCGCCTATGCCGAATCTCAATTAATCGCGGGGTTGTGTCTAATAAAAACGGCTACGTAGGCTGCTATCCATAGGGACTATTCATTTATGATTTGAATGCAGGTAGGTAAACAGTGCAATCACGACGCACTTGACATCAAGGGAGTTAGCGTGTAGCCCCCGGAAATCCTGTACAAGAAACCATGCCAGTGAGGTCGTCGAGTGGGAGAATTATCTCTCGGTACCACTGAGATGAGATGCATAAGATTAACAAATCTAAATTTACGCATGCAAAGTGCAACAGCCCAGTCCATGCCATAACTAGCAACCAGACTGAAGAACGGTAGTCGCACTCCACTATTCTGTTCAGACTTAATTCCATAGTAACCTGACCAACGCCGCAAAACCATGAGCACAATTTACCTTATATGATCAACTGATATTCATGCATCAAGTCATATGTATCCACTGCCATGCAGACAAAATGGTTTAATGGAAGGCATCGCGTATCGACGCCTCGCTACAACCCGATCACCGGGAGTCGAGAGCGAGTTAGGGATCCTGCGAAACCGCAAGCACATACGCAAGTTCGAATCCGCGACCTATGGAATACAAGCCAAAAATGCCTGAATCACTTAGTCATCAGCTGGTTGACGAGGATTCAGATGAAAACAGACATTTACTGTGAGATATCGTCTGGCCTCCTTTTCCATGAAATATATTATTCTACATGAGATGGTTTAGGGTGAAGTTCAGTTCAGTTGATCAACTATGATCTGAGCACCGAAGTGTAGTGGTTCCAGTTGCCACGACTCATATCGCAAGAATAATAAGAAATAACAAGGGCAAGATGGTGTGGTTGAATGCAAATAGAAAGTAAAGAAAATTGAAGGAAGACGGAAGTGCGGTAGACTAATTCAAATAGAATAAAAGTGAACAACCAAATTCTGAAACCCCACTGACTGCATGACTACGCCATGTCTGACACAGTCTCCAACCATTGGTGTGGACCATCCCCGAGGCCCCCCATGCACGAAGACGGCACGCAGCAGCCTGACCGAGTCTTTCAGTCAGTTTTCTCATGCATATATGTCACGTAATGAACAGGTCACCTCGTGTTTTCACCCAACTTAGTGCAGCGACGGTGTATAATGCAAGTCAAAGAAGCGGGTCAACGTGCATACGGAGGACACTGTCTAGCAAACACTCCACTGAAGCACCAGAGGGTTTCTTGCCAGTTGGCGGACCTCAGCATTACTCACACGGTATTCCCACTAGAGGTGAACAACATTCCGGAAACATCAGTTGTCAAACATGGCCGTGTTTAAAGTCTTCGCCGCGAACTGTTAACGCCTCTGATCCATACAGTAACACCGGCCTTACCGCAGTGCTATACACCGCACCTTTCACTGACAGACTGACATCCAGCCGTCACTATAGATGGTTGGTTCTCCGGAAAAGCAAACACAGGAAGTAACTTCCTCAGTGCTATGACCATCAGAGGTGGGAAAGCTACCAAGGCGAGTGAACCGATCCACCACTTCTCGTCGCTGTTCGCTGCTAACTAAAATCGAGGGTGTATCGGTCCAGTCCTAAGGCAGTACTTTACACTTTGAAGATGCAAAGCACATACCGAAGCGTGCAGCGCCACGCGTCAGTCTATCCAGTAGTGTTTGCATAGTCACTACGTCAGACCGAAGGAGAGTAAAGACGTTCATTTACTCCAGGTTTGTCAGTCGGTCACCTGAATCGAAGTGGAACCGGAAAACTATGCCTGAGCTGGTGTTGTAGTCCAATGGCAGTGAACGTTCGTCATGTGAGGGTAAGGGAGGGAGACTAGTTAATAGTCAAAATGTTGCACTATGGGCCACATGATTTGGTGGGCCAGTAACAGCTTGGTATGATATTGCCGTGCATTCCAGTGGTGACTGGTTAGAACTTGCGTCGGTGGGTGACCTCGGAGTATTTCAATTCCTCGAGCGACTGATGGCGATCGTGTGGCAGTCACGGTCGGTACGAAGTACCGGTGTCTACATGAGCCAATAATGTGAAGTGACAATCGACGAAGTTGCTCAAATCTGAGTGGGGAAATGTGTGGAAGTGCGAAAAAAAACTCACATGCGTAAGTTGTTGCCGGCTGGATTGAAGGGATGTGGTTATCCAAGTGGTCGAAATGCGGCAAATGAGAGTGCGGAACTGGAAACAAAGTGGTGCGCCCCTCCACTGGGGGACACACAAGATCGGGTGAAACAAGTCCAGTGTTGGAGGTTGGTGTGTTTCCAAACTGGCCATCCGGGGATCCGTTTGTTGTCCCGGACACCAAGTTGTAGTAGCAAGCGGTTGAACTGCTGGTGTCCGAAGAAGCAACGGAACTGCTGGTTAGTGACATAAGCGGGTGAACTGGGTTTGGTATGCTAGCCTGAGTTGGGGAGGGGGAATGTGAATGACGAATGACAGAGTGAGCGAAAGAGTCTGACTGCTTTGCATGATCACTCGCCTCATCGGTGCCGATAACGGGAAACTTGAAAATTCCGGGATACTGGATTGATTCAGGGGATGTGCTGGAAGTGGCCTGGTCAGAGGAATCCGGAAAACTGGTGTAGCGGGTCATAAGTTGGCCGGTATATAACAAGGCACAACGATCCGAGACCCCCGATGAACAAATATCATGTGCGGTGTAGACCTGATTAGTGGCATCGTAAATCGCGCTAGAAAGACCTGGGGAAGAAACGTGTAGAGAACAGTTTTTATATAACAAATAAAAATAGTTCGACGAAACGGAAACCAATTTATAGGGAATTGAGGAGGTTAGTAACAAGGGGACAAAGAAAGCGTGCTAGTTTGCGTGGCTCTTGATATGAAACACAATAACTGAAAACAGGGGAACCAGAAAAGACCCAGTGATAGAAATGTAGCGCTCTGAAATGATAGATGAGGATCGGAGCCAAAGTGAAGTACCCAAATCAAAACATCAAGCAATAAAGCTTAATGCCAATGTGGTGAGTTCGTGTTTCTGTGATAGAGTGAGAGAGGGATGGGGGCAGTGAAACGTGGCGGACCCAATTACCATGGTGCATGACTACGAAACAGTGAAGAAAAGAGAGGAAGAAAGATAATACACGAAAATACAGCGGAAAAAGTTATGTTATTACGAAGAGAAACCACATACAACAGAACCTTGACTTTGCGTCTGCGTCATATCGCCACGAGGGTAGATGATTACGGGACAACCTCCGAGACACCATGAATGCGACCGTCCGGTTGGTTACATACTTTTAAAACGTCACAGGCGAGCCACAGCGAGTTTCAATCGACCAGGAACAGGCAAGCAGTTGACAAGTACCTGAATAACATAGCGTACCTATCGTAGGCGGTTCAAATTCCACTGACGGTCGACTGCGAGATCAGATAGCATCACTGCAAAACCCAGCGAAAGCATCAATCTCATTAAATCAACGGTCGCACCAGTTATGTGTCACACTACGAGGAGGCAGATAGCCAAAGATGAAACGCATGGTAAAATATTCTGCGCACAGTGATGATGTGCGTGACCCGTACCATAACGCAAGTTGCACAGAAGCGTTAGAAACTCTGAGCCAAATCAACAAGCTTATAGAACATCGCCTCCATAAGAGGATCATATCAGATCAGATGAACAACTATGTTACGAGCACCGAAGTGCGGTGGATCCAGTTCCTAAGAGTCACATAGCAAGTATAATAAATAACAACGTAAGATGTGGGGTAGAATGAAAACAGAATGTAAAGAAAATGGAAGGAAGTGCGTTAAACTAACCAGATTGGAATGAAAATTAACAACCAGATGGAAGAAACCAAACGTAGGAACGCCAATGACTGCGTGACTACGCGATGTCTCATATGCTCTCCAACCATATAGGTGTGGACCATTCCGAGGTCCCCATCCACGAAGACGTCACGCCTCAGCCTGACCAAGTCAGCCAATTTTCTTCATGTCTCGTTGCCACGTCACTGACTGGCCACCTCGTGAATTCGCCCAAGTTGGTGCTACCACGGCGTATACTGAACGCCAAGGAAGCATAGAAAGGATACGGCCTAGTTAACGTATGCGCTTAGGAACCAATAAACACTCGAATGAAGAACCAGAAGGCTTCTCTTGTTATAAATCCAGTGGCGGACCTCAGCATTGCTCACGCAGTGTTCCCACCCGACGTGAGCAATACTTCGCAAGCACTGCTGGTCAAACACGGCCAAGCGTTTAATGTCTTTGCTGCGAACTGGTCAGGCTTCTGATTCATACAGTAAGACCGACCTTACTGCAGCGTTATACACCCTAACTTCCACAGACAGGCTGATATCCCGCCGTCTCAATAGATGGTTAAGTCTCCGGAAAGCCACACGGGTCTTGCTGATACGCGAAGTCACTCTCTCAGTGCTGTGACCACCAGAGATGACACAACTGACAAGTTAAGCGAACCGATCTACCACTTCCAGTAGCTGTGCGGTGACAGCTACAACCGGAGGTGAGTCGATCCAGTCCCGCAACAGTACTTTGTACTTTGAAGGTGCAAAGCATATGCCGAAGCGTGCAGCGCTACGCGGTAGTCTATTCACTAGTGTTTGGATAGACACAGCGTCAGATTAAAGGGGAGCTATGTACTGCGTATACCCCAGGTTTGTCAGTTGACAGAATTTCCACTCCGGTAAAGTCTGAAAGAGCGGAGTCACTCATGATCATTTTGATGAAGGGAGATACAGGACAACCCTGGCGAACCTCACTTGTCGTGCGGAACTCAAGAGACAGTTTCCGGTAGACCTTTACACGGCCTCGAGAGTCACGGTAGAGATTGCATAATAGAAAGAATTTTATCTGGCACGCCCTTCATAAAATGGCAGTGTCACAAGCTGGCTCGAGCAACAGAGTCGGAGGCGGCTTTCAAGTCAAGGTAACCACCCTAGTCGGTTGTCTGTATGTGTCTCTGCTCTAAAACTTGGCGAAGAGTAAATAGATGGTCAATACAACCAGGACTATGGCGGAATCCAGCCTGGCTTTTAGTGATTCGGTACTCACCGAGACCAGTAAGTCGTCGGAGAATGATACTCGTGAGAAAGAAGTTTCGAGGCAATGGAAACAAGGCTAATACCTCGATGATTGTGCTGGCCCTACTGGAAGATGGGCACAAGTTTACAGTCGACTGTCTGAAAGCATCTCTTTCAGAGTTCCAAATCGCGTCAAGGGAAGAAGTGAGTCTAGTCAACAGTCACCACCATCTTTCAGTAACGATGGAGGAAGATCGCTGGGTCCAGGAGTCTTGTTTCATTTTAACACGGAAAGCTCATGTCGAATCTCTTCTACAGTGGGAGGGGTGACATTTACATTCTACGTCGGTTCAGGCAATTTGGCAAGCGGCAGTGTCGCAGCAAGCCCACTGAAATGCTGTTCAAGATGCTAAACCCCACGAACTAATCAAAGACGCTGATAATAAATCAATAGTCCATCTTTATCAGTTGTTGTATTGCTAACTGATGACTTTCTCGGACCAGTGTTGTGGATGAGCTGGAATAGCACCCGACTATTCCAAATAGCACCTGATTTCTCCATCTCACACGCCCTTGCCGTCCACCAACATATCCGATCAATGGGAAGACTCCTTGTCAAACGTCGTTACAGGGTTACGGACTCGCTGAAACTTAGTGCCAATTGGAACCTGTTTCCGTGCTTCGATCAAGCAGATCGACGCCTTAGAGATGCATTCACAGTTACGACGTCACGAGTGGGGTGCACAGCATGCGTCCAAGGCATTCTTCATGGCACACTTGAGACGATCCCAGTTCCGCAACCTCATTCATCACTGACAATTGGTGGGCTAGTTCAACATGATACTGCTGAACGGCAGATTGCGAGTTCAAGTTATAGATTAAAAGGTTAAGAGATAGGCGCTTTTCGAAGCGGGAAAAGTGCGCCAAGCGTGAAAGCACTAGATCATACTCAGAATCGAAGAACGTGCTCCAAACTGACTGAGAGTCTTAGACTGATGTGCGCCACCTGTAGTTCATGGCAATATGGTCAATTTGCGTTCAGTTTATACAGGAATACGATGGGCGCCAGGTGGCGCGGTGTGAACGTTTGTGCAGGAAAGCAGTGTTGCTAAAAGTTGTGGTGGGCGCACAGCTGCAGGAATCGATCACCATTGTTTGTTCGGCGTGCATCGACTCCGAAGCGGCCTCCCAGGTGCTGATCACAATGTAAAAGATGACGTAATTTGGCTTAAACGTCACCAGTAACAATCGCGATGTCAGTATTCTTCGCCATGCGAACAAGAGATGAGAGCTGCTGATAGGAATCTTTGATACCTTCTGAAACGTATGCAGTTAGTGTGATAAACTGAGGTGATCAAAAAGCACCGTGCTTCTAAACGCTGCTTATTAACCCAAATAGAGATTCGAAGTCGAACCGCACACCGTTCACGAGTATCCAGTTGAGCAGATTGCCATCAGCACGTTTGCTGAGGGCATTAGCAACACCGTAAATATCTTGAGCCATTGACTCAGTATCGCCATGGACGCGAAGTGTAGCCATCGTCGTCAGAACCAGAACCAAAAAGTTGAAGATTTGTCACGAGGCTGTTATCTTTTGTATGTGTTTCGGAGACACAGCATACATCAATACCAAGATGGTAAAGAGTGAGAGTCAGTGCTGCCTGCTGGCCGATCTGACCTAGAGTGAGGATGTTAAAAGAACCAAAGTGAAATAAAGCTCTACGATTGATGGAAGAGCTACATGTATCGATAGCAGCAGCTGCGAAGTCAGTGGCAGTCTCTTGCTCAATAGACGGGGAGGAGGAGAAAGGAGAAGTGAAAACAAGAAGAGGAAGGAGTATTGTCGATGTTGTGGAGAGGCAGATGATACTCTGCTGTTGCGCATACCGAGAGAGGGACATAGTTCGAGGTGCCCTGTTCATAGCCTTTTACCGTCTAACCCACAAGGCAGTGGGGTACAGGGAGGTATGCTTGAGGGACCCCACTCAGGGTCTTTGGCTTAAAAGTCTGACACACAACCCAATAGGAATTTTGGAGGTGCGCTAGGAAGACTCCACCCGCAGCAATTGATTTAATAGCCTGACCAACAAAGCAGCGGGGAGCAACTACAGCTCGGGAGTGTGATTGCAGACCCATTGGAACCAGCTTGAGGCCTGTCACGCACTGCCTTTGAAGGTTCGGAACAACTCACATGTGTTTTACAACCGCTGAGGCTTGTTGTAGTTAGATCCTGACAGATGGTCTACCCATTGCTACTACTGTTGTGTCAAGGGCTCATGTCATGGACGCCTCCTAGTGGCGACCTCTGGGTGGGAGTTAGGTTACGCCCTTCTCCTAGCCAAGAACCAGCACACCAATCCGTATGGGTCAGTGAACTTACCATGTGCTAGACCCGCTGCCTTTCGGGTGTACATTTAATAGAAGGCCTTTGCAAAAGCTGAGGACCCACTTCGTTTCTCTGCCAAGTGTGGGCGCCCTGCAAGTATCCTAGTCCATCCCCTTCGGAGGTTAAGAAATGGTCGATGGCCATCTTCCCGTAAAACCTAGCCATGGGAGACAACAGGTCTACGGGTTACAAGCTCATGGTTCGATTGCCGTAGAGCAAGAGCACCACGAATGGTCTCTGACGGTGGGAGGGCATCTCCAGGTGCTCAAGGGATTGTTAGTACCCGCTTCAAGCCAGGCAGCCCCTGGTCAAAT